GGGGTGTAACGGTACACGTGGGTGCATTGAACCGTTTCGGTACGGCACGTTCGGTTCGGTCCATGTGCGTACCGTTGCGGTTTATTTTTCACTCATTAAATTTTATTAACGAGAGATTATGCGCCGTGAAACTAAAATTCCTAAGTGTGTTTCAGCACGATGCTATTATCTTGCAGCACGCTAGCATTAGCAGCCTAACATGTCGTTGCGGTCTCCTGTTTGGTAACATTATGGCTTTCTTGTTAAAAGACAAGTGAACAAATCCAAAGCTGTGTGTCGACGTTGTTTCACGGAGATTGGAACTGCAGCAGGCAACACGTCTAACTTGTTAACGCACTTGAAACAACATCATCCGAACGTGAATGTCTCTTCTACAAGCAAGAAAAACAGCTTGTTGCAAAGACCGCAGCATTTAAACAACTTTTATCAGGTAATTCATATCGGTCCAGAGCAATAACACGAGATGTAGGAGTTTTTAAAACTCTGGATCTATGTCCGAATGTTGTTGATGCGCCGGTTTAAAGTTCTTGAGCATGTTCTTGTCATGTTCTTGTCATGTTCTTTGCAGGTGAAGAGACAGTGGTCGGGTGTTTTGCCGTGTGCTCTCTTTGTGTATATTTCTTATATTTTGGAGTCTTTCTTTGTCTTTTCTTTCTTTCTATCCTATTAAAAAAAAAAAACAAACAAAAAAAAAACCCTACACTATATAGTCACTAGAATAAATATTTCATAATAATGGTGTGGAGAGGATGGCTGTAAGGGGAGAAGGGAGGCCATCACAAAAAAAAAATATATATATATATAAATAATAAAGTTCTTGAGCCCCGCTTCGACATCCCATCACGTCAACACTTCAGCCAAAAGTTGTAGCAGCACTTTATGAAAAAGTTAAAACTGATATTGTCAACAAGCCCTGGACCAGATTAAAGCCCTGCCCTGATTATGATGATGATGAGCGAGAGATTCAACCACCTCATAACAACCGTTCAAGAAGAGGTATTGTTATTTTATTATTATTATCTAATTAACATTTTTTTTTAATTATAATCTTATTAACTCATTTTTTTTTACCTACTGTATTTGTGTTTTATTTCCAGTCTGGGACAAAGATAGCAGCTGAGTCTTCCTGTTCAGGGAAATCCACCAGAGATCAC